TTTGTAAAAATATTAACAATGAAGACCCACCTGGGGCACAGCCCTTTGTTGAAGTGAGTCCTCTTGCAGGCTCTTTTGCCTACTTGTTTTTTCTGGGTTGTATGGGTGCCACCCTCTGGGGAGACATAGCAGGGTAAGATGCAACACCCTGCTCTGAGCAAGGTGGAGAAGAGCATGCTTCCTGTACCAACTCATGCCTACTTCTCAGTAAACTGTGTTTCTGAGGAGGAAGAGGGCTGACCCTATTAAAGGAGATGAGACACACATGGGATGTTCTAGAGGTTCTCGTCTCCCCTGTGTCCAGGACCCTGCATTCAGCCCCTAGGTAGTCCCCAAGAAGGGTTTTTTCTCTGCTGTCTCCCCAACTCCCCAGCTGCTATTCCAGGTTCATGTAGCAGGGGCGAAGTGAGGTCTTTGGGCAGGTCTTGGTGGTCCCCTGCAGGGTAGACCAGGCATTAGCTGTGGGAATCTGTTCCTAGGTCAACACCTTTTGAATGACTGCAGGATATCAGGTCTCCTTCCTTCTCTCTGATATTTCAGACAAAGAGGAAAACATGTGTCTGTCTCGTAGACAGGGAGGCAGAGCAACCAAAGGAAATGGGGTTAGATAAACACACGGCAGTGGTGAGCAGGGCCCTATAGCTACCCTCTCAGCTTCCTGGGGACTATGAGAGTCAACACCCTGTGCAGGGGGCTGGAGACTACAGGCATTTGTCCACTCTCAGCGCTGGAGACCACGAGTCTGAGATGCAGGTGTGGACAGGGCTAGTTGCGTCCGGAAGCTACAGGGGAAGGTCCTCCCTCATCCAGCTCCCGGTGGTCCCAGGTGTCCTGGGCTGTGGTTGTATCTCTCCCATGTCTGTCTCCATCTACACATGGCTGGCTCCCCTCTGTGTCTCCTCTTTTATAAGGACCCCCCATATAGGATCTGTGCTCACCCTAACCCAGTCTGAACTCATGTTAAGTGGATTACATCTGCAAACACACAGGTCTGAGATCCAGATGTGTACAGGGCTGGCTCCCTCCAGAAGATCTCCCCTCATCTAGCTCCTGGTGGTCCCAGGTATCCTGGACTTGTGGTTGCATCTCTTTCCAATCTCGGACTCATCTTCACACGACCGTCTCTCCTCTGTCTCTTCTCCTCTTTTGTAAGGACCCCACTCATGTAAGCTCAGGGGCCACCCTCCTCCACTCTACCTCATGTTAAATGATAACATCTTCAAAGATGATTTCTAAACAAGGTCCTGTTTACAGGTGGGGGTGTGGGAGAGTTAGGACTTCGTTTCTTTTGTGGTAACTACTTAGTGTGAAATCTTGGTGTGGCCATATAGGATAAACACTGGACCACAAGATCGGTGGTTCAAATTCACCAGCCATTCCTCAGACACCCTATACAGGGTCATAATGAGTCTGAACCAACTCCACAGAAGTTAACAGTAATGATAACACCTGGTGTGGCACTGTAGGATAAGCACTGGACTGTTAACCACAGATTATCGGTTCATGCTTACCACCTGCTCTTCAGAAACCCTGTACATGGTCGCTCTGAGTCGGAAGTGACTCCCAGGCACTTACCCACCACAACCATCAATTTGCTTATGTATGGCCAAGGTGGACAATGAATCGGGGAGACCAGAGAAGAATCGATGTCTTTGAATTACCGTGTTGGTGAAAAATATTGAAAGGGCTCTGGATTGTCAGGGGAATAGACCAAGCTGTCTTGGAAATCTTGGTGAGATTTCTTCTCAGGGACTTTGATGGATCAAAAGGGGGTTCAGACCCTGGAGAAGGACATTATGCTCGGTAAAGCGTAGGGTCAGCATAAAGAGACCCCACCACTACCACCCCCACCAATGTGCCCGTAACAGTGAGCTCAAACTTATCAATTGGAAGGAGGGTGCAGAACCAGCCAATGTTTTGTCCTGTTGTGTGTGGGTTTGGAACTGACCATCCAGGACATGTGTCCAAGTCCCACTCTGTCCTGTGTGAACATTATTAGGGCCACTCTCAGGACACATGCCCACCACCGAGCTGCAACGGCAGACCAGCACAGTCTCAGCCCCTTGGTGTGGGTCTTTGGGGGAATCCACGTTCCACACCCCAGGAATCTGCAAACCCACCAAGTTAGCCTCCCTGGATGTGCGTATTCCCTGAGCAGTCCTTGGGGTCAGCTGTGTTTCTATTTCGGTCCTCCCCTTGCTCCGGGACTCTCCAGTTCTTATTTTCTCAACATCAACACTCCCTTAGCGTGTTGTGACATCCTGTTCTCTTTTCCCAATATGAACCCCGAACAACTCTCACCCAGTTCCTTGTGTCTGCAGAACTCTGACTTTCACACAAACAAGATGAACCTTTCTGGGAACTTGCACACACCTCTGATGCCCAACAGAGCCATCTCCCGGACACGTATACACACAGAACTCGACACAGAGCTCTGAGGATTCAAGCTGCTCTTACATGAATCTGGTCAATTTCTACTCATGTGACAGATTAGAAATACCCCAGAAGTTTTCCTAACTGTGTGACCCTTACTGGTCAGCACTCATCTGTCACTTTGTCCTCCTGTGGTGACCTACATGTTGCTGTGATTCTGAAAGCTATGCCAATGATATTTTAAAGGCCAGTAGGGTCACCCACGGTGGACAAATTTTAGTGGAACTTCTAGACCAAGACAGACTCGGAAGTAGGAGAGGCAGACCACCTCTGAATGTTCAGCCCCTGAAAATCTTACAAATAGCATTGGAACACTGTAAGAGAGCAACAGAATATTGAATATTGAAACCCGGTGCTCTTCACAACACCAGAATGTTGTCAGATATAATGCCAGAAAATGAGCACCTCTCATTGGAAGGCACTCAAAATATAACTGGGGAAGAGCTACCTTCTCAAAGCCGAGTTGACCTTAACAATTAGGGTGAGGTTAAGCTTTTGGGACCTTTATTTGCTGATGGGGCACAACTCGAAATGAGAAAAAACAGTTGCGAACATCTATTAATAATCAGAATGCGGAACGTACAAACTATGAGTGTAGTAAAAATGGAAGTTGTCAGAGATGAAATGGAACGCATAAAGGTTAATGTCTTAGGTATCTGTAAGCCGAAATGGACTGGTATTGGCCATTTTGAATCAATATATGGTTTACGATGTATGAAGAATGACACTCTGAAGATGAATAGTCCCACGCGTCATTAAAAAAAAAAAAAGCAAAGATATTTCAAGATCTATCTTGAAGTATGATGCTGTGTGCGATACAATAAAATCAACGGCTACAAGGAAGATGGCTCTTAATAAATTAGGAGCTATGCTGCTCACCACAAGGTCAGCAGTTCAAATCTACCAGTCACTTCATGGGGGAAAAGATGAGTTTTTTCTACTCGTGCAAAGATTGACAACCTCAGACACAGGATCACTATGAGTCAGGACAGACTCCATGCACACGACCGACCGCAAGGAAGACCAATTAATATCACTATGATTCAAATTTAGGCACCAACCGTACAGTAATGATGAAATTGAAGAAGGGGAGTCCTGGTGTGGCGCTGTGGGTTAATGCGTCAGACTGCAAAGCCGTTTGAACTGCAAGGTCGGCGGTTCAAGCTCACCAGCTGCTCCATACAGGGTCTCTATGGGTTGGAATCGACTGAACACCACTAAACAACAACAAAAAACAAACTTCTTCAACCTGAAATTGATCAAACAAACCATCAAGTTGCATTGATAAGCACAAACCATCAAGTTGCATTGATAAACCATCAAGTTGCATTGATAAACAAAGAGGAGGGATTGGCAACTGGAAAATTGGGTTTGGGGCAACTTATTCTTTGGGGCCGGCAGCGGTTCACTCTAGGTCTTCTGGGTCACTGAGACTCAGAGCCTGCTCATCTTGCTGGGGGTTGGCTGTGTTTGATGTGATGTGTGGTGTGTTGTATGGTGGTGTGTGGTCTCTGGAGATGTGTGTATGAGTTTGGTGCCTAAATGTGTGTGTGTGTGGTGTGAGTGTATATGTGTTTCTGTGTATGTGTATATATGTCTGTGTGTGTCTTTGTGTAGTGGTGGTTGTACATATGTGTGGTTGTGTGATGTGTGTTTTATGTGTGTTTGCAGGATTATGTGTTGTGTGTGCTTTTATGTGTGCCTGTGTGTGTGTTTGTGTTGTGTGTGTAGTGTGATGTTTGTGTTGTGGGCTGTGTCTGTGGTTGTGTGCTGTGTGTTGTGTGTGTATGTGTTAGGTGGGTGGTTGTGCACATATGTGGTATGTATGTGTGACTGTGTATATGTGTGCTTTGTGTATGTGGTTGTGTGCTGTGTGTTGTATGTGGCTGTGTGATTTGTGTGTCTGTGTGGTTGTGCATGTGTGGCTGTGCTGTGTGATGTTTGTGTTGTGGGCTGTGTGTTGTGTGTGCTGTGTGCTGTGTGGGTCTGTGTAAGGTGAGTGGTTGTACACATGTGTGGTGTGTCTCTGTGTGACATGTGTATATGTGTTCTCTGTGTTATGGGTGGTTGTGTGTGTGGTTGTGTGTGTGTGTCTGTCGGTGTATCTGTGTGCTGTGTGTTATGTGTTGTGTGTGTGTCTGCATGGGTACATGTTTTGTGTGTGTCTGTGTGCTGTGTGTCCTGTGCCCTAGGAGGCCCGTGTGGTGGGTAGACATGCAGCGCCCCCCACACTCCGGGGGTCCTCTCAGCTCTGCCGGAGAGGGAAGCGGCCTGGTGTGGGGCGCAGTTCCTGGGAGAGGTGCTCTGAGTTGGGCACATGTTGCTTCCTGACCACACACGGTAAGGAGATGAGCAGTTTGGGATGGAAACGGAACAAGATCTGTCCTCAGCCATCTGGTCTGTGCTGCAAAGCAGACTCCACCAATGGTCCTTCCCTGCCTCCAGCTCCACGGGTGCCCTGTACGCAGAAAACCCATGTAGGTGCTGTGGGGTTCCCCTCACGGCCTCACAAAATGTGTTCTGGGGTGGCAGGCTGGGGGCACGGCCCTGCCCGGGCAGTGCACGGGGTGACTGGGCCCTGGGCCAACGCTCTGAGCGCTCGGGTGCATCCAGCCCCTCTGGAGAAAGCGCGAACAGCTACACAGGAAATTTCAACACGGTCTTCCTCTCCCACTCGGCAACGGGTCCCCAGGGCGGTTGCTGTGCCCCAGCAGGATTTGCATCTGGACGCCTCCAGCCGGCAGAAGTGATCTAGAAGGTTTGCAACCGGCAGCAAAGACTCCGTGGCCCCTGGGACAGACTGTCTGCAGAGCCTCGGTGAACCCACGGACGCGCAGACTGTGTGGGCGCGCAGATTGAGTGCTCTAGGAGGAGGGCTTGGCAACCATAGCCTGAGTCCATGGACCTAGGACTCTCGGGTCCTCCCCCTGCACCGTTAACTTCTGCAACAGGTGAGCAGGTGCGGGTCCTCATGTGTTCTCAGGGGGCTAGGGGTGGGTGGGTGGGGGGCAGTGTGGATGAGTGTGAAATGAGCACAAGGGGTCGATGAAATGACATTCAGGACTCCAAAAAACAGGGCTTTGCAGATCGAGCTATCTGGGCAGGACACATCTCCAAGTCCCAGCTGTATAATATGTTGTTGTTGTTATGTGCCATGGAGTTGGTACCGACTCATAGTGATCCCGTACAGGGTTTCCGAGGCTGTAAATCTTTATGGGAGCAGAAAGCCTCATCTTTTGCCCACGGAACAGCTGGTAGTTTCAAACTGCTGTCCCTGAGGTTTGCAGCCCGATTCGTAACCACTACACTACCAGAGCTCCAGTGCTGGGCAGCACAATTCCTTTTGAAGGGGTCACACCCAGGAGGAGCGTGGCTGGATTTGAACACGTTGTGTGGCAGCCGACTGACGTGGCCGGTTTGTGCTACCTCAGCTTCCCTTACAAGACTCATGGTGATGATGACCGTGGATGTCATAGCGCCGATTCTAACATCTGGTGATGCTGTGTGACCCAGTGTACAACTGCCCTGTCAGGTTTTCCTGGCTGCCATCTTTACAGGAACAGATGGCCAAACCTTTCTTCTGCAGGGCCTCTGAGTGGGGTTGAACCAGCAACCCTCGAAATTAGTGTTGCTGTTATTATAAAGTACCTTCAAGTTGATTCCAACCCTCAGATACACTGTTTCCAAGAAGCGGCTGGTGGATTTGAACTGCTGAGCTCGCTGTTAGCAGTAGCCCAGTGCTGATCCTACAGTGCCACACCAGGACTCCTAAATTGATAGTCAATGGCAAACGGTGCATGCCACCCAGGAACCTTATCAGGAGCCCACAACCAGGGCAATCACCTGCCACACCCTCCCTAAACACTTAGATACAATGTATCACCAAGATGTTCCTGCAAACTATGATAAAACCTCACCCTTGGTAATTAACAAGGTAGGGAGATGAAAACAGGGACTGAGTGGAGGTGTTGGTGTTGGTGGTCAGTGCTGCTAAACCCTTTCTGACTCTAGCACCCCCACGTGTGACAGAGGAGAACTGCCCTATAGGGTTTCCTAGGCTGTCATCTATTGTGTCACTATATACTCATATATACTCTTATAGATCATCCACTCACAGCACCCCCTGGAGTAATGGAGGAGAACTGCCCCATAG